CTTCTTGTAGACGTTGTTGGGCCTCCAAGTGCAGAGGTTTGTAGGACAGTAGCATATTTCCCTCAAGTGGATGACCTAAGGTTTATCAATCCGTAGGAGGCATAGGATGAAGATGGTCTCTCTCAAACAACCCTGCAACCAAATAACAAAGAGTCTCTTGTGTCCCCAACACACCCAATACAATGGTAAATTGTATAGGTGCACTAGTTCGGTGAAGAGATGGTGATACAAGTGCAATATGGATGATAGATATAGGTTTTTGTAATCTGAAAATATAAAAACAGCAAGGTAACTAATGATAAAAGTAAGCACAAACGGTATTGCAATGCGTTGAAACAAGGCCTAGGGTTCATACTTTCACTAGTGCAAGTTCTCTCAACAATGATAACATAATTTGATCATATAACTATCCCTCAACATGCAACAAAGAGTCACTCCAAAATCACTAATAGCGGAGAACAAACGAAGAGATTATGGTAGGGTACAAAACCACCTCAAAGTTATTCTTTCCAATCAATCCGTTAGACTATTCCTATTAAGTGTCACAAACAACCCTAGAGTTCGTACTAGAATAACACCTTAAGACACAAATCAACCAAAACCCTAATGTCACCTAGATACTCTAATGTCACCTCAAGTATCCGTGGGTATGATTATACGATATGCATCACACAATCTCAGATTCATCTATTCAACCAACACATAGAACCTCAAAGAGTGCCTCAAAGTTTCTATCGAAGAGTCAAGACGAAAACGTGTGCCAACCCTATGCATAGGTTCATGGGAGGAACCCGCAAGTTGATCACCAAAACATACATCAAGTGGATCAATAGAATACCCCATTGTCATCACGGGTATCCCACGCAAGACATACATCAAGTGTTCTCAAATCCTTAAAGACTCAATCCGATAAGATAACTTTAAAGGGAAAACTCAATCCATTACAAGAGAGTAGAGGGGGAGAAACATCATAAGATCCAACTATAATAGCAAAGCTCGCGATACATCAAGATCGTATCACCTCAAGAACACGAGAGAGAGAGGGATCAAACACATAGCTACTGGTACATATCCTCAGCCCCGAGGGAGAACTACTCCCTCCTTGTCATGGAGAGCGTCGGGATGATGAAGATGGCCACCGGAGAGGGATTCTCCCTCCGGCAGGGTGCCAGAACGGGTCTAGATTGGTTTTCAGAGGCTACGGAGGCTTCTGGCGGCGGAACTCCTGATCTGTTGTGCTCCCCGAAGTTTTTAGGGTATGTGGGTATACTAGTGGACCCGTTGCGCCAAATGGCGCAGAGGCACACTAAATCCATGTTCGCGATGAAAAATATCCATGGTTTAATCCCCTTTAATAGGAAACATGGTGGATTGTTATCTACAATGATATGTGTATACATATTTTAATGTCATAGCACAAAATACGTGCTACCATTTTCGCAGAGACCCATTTGAAATCATGTTCACATTGAAAACATTTGCGGTTTTTAGTGACTTGTGTTTGAGCAAAAAAATACATAGGCTCTTGTTTAAAAATATAAGTACCTTCAAAACCATGAGTGCTTTAAAAATATTTTCATTAGTTAGGAGCTTTAGGTTTAAGCAAACATGTATGATTGGAGCTTTAGCCCTTCTGTATGAAAATAACGAAGGAGCATCAAACAATAAATAGCAGATGAACAATAGTTTGAAACGTCTCAATAATAGCAATAGCTATCGTCTATGATTTTTGTAACTATCAAACATGCCTAAAACATCATTTCTACTGAATTGACATAACAAGTATTTATGGTAAGGGACACCATCACATAGATTAAAGAAAAAAGGGAGTGATCAATAGTTCAACAGTAAAGCATCGACAACTTGCATGGTGATAGGAACAAGTGGTACTGTGTCGAGTCGTTTCTCTAAGTTGCGGTACATATCCTGAAGCCTTGCAGTGCTCCATGGGCAGCAGTGCATCGCCCTACACACATCTTCACTATACAACCGTACATGCACCACAAACAACATGCTGGTATTTTTACCTGATAAAATTGATAGTGATACAAATTTATTTGCCAATTGTACCAGCGAATGAAAAAATGCAATGTTTCATTAAGATCACTATCCGACTATTTTTACAAAAAGAACCAAAACTGAATCCAGAAAACAAATGTTGTTTTGCGCCAAATGGCGCAAGATACCAGGTCAAACCCTAGATTATTTGAGAGAAGATGAGTTCCAATTTAGCAAATATTCTGTATCCCGTTGCACCAAATGGCGCAAAGTCCAATTCAAACCAAGAGCTAAATGCAAATATTTGCTTAATAATGTAAGAATGTAACATATTAGATCATTAGTAGCTTACAATAGTTGAGTCTGCAATTAGATGATCCAAGTAGTTGTACACATGGGCAACACAATAAATCAAATGTGCTCAAGATATGATAAAGCACTGTGTCCGTGCAGTTCTTAGGAATATTGTCCATTGCATCATATATGTTATCATGTCACAGTAGTAATTTGGATTAAACAATAGAGATAAAGAACGGCAACACAGAATCAAGTTTGTCTTAGGGATGATGGTAAATTACAACAGACACCAACTAAGATTCAAGAAAAGTGCCCTTCGTTCGGAGGAAAGATGATTTCTTCAGTGACCATATAAGGACCTTGCTTCAGTGGTCAATGGTGTAGTTGTTGTCATGGGCTGCACCAAACAACGGCCTCCTCGAGCTTGTTTATCCAGAGACCCTATACACCAGAGTGTTGGTTGTTTGATCAACAACCAAAGAATAGCCTGACGTGATACTTTTGGTTGTTTATATATCTTGGAAGGTGGGTATCTAATAGTCTGGTTTCAAGTAAGCGAGTAAAGGAAAAGGTAACATTTTTACTTCTGAGGAAATATCAACAATCTGGTTCTACAAAAGAGTTAATGGACCTACCTCGTGTAGGTAGCTACTTTACTACAAAATGCAGATAGGTTAATCAGCAAGATTCTAATTTTGAAAACAATAAACTGGTAAAACTTGTACAAAACCGCAAAATTATTATTATCCTGATTGGCCAAATAAGCATGTGCGCGCAATAAATTCAGAATTTTTGTTGCTAAGAAAATGAGCTAAGGTCTACATCAAAAGAAGGTAACAAGAGCAATATTGTGGGTATAGCCATCATCTTTGTACAGAAAAGAAAGCTACCATCTTTGCAAATAACTCTTCTTCTTTCACTACTCATTTGAACATCTCCTAATGTTCCTGGTCATGTAAGCAAATATTAAACCTCGTCTCCTTCGAGGGACAAAAAACATCAATGTTCATTTTCACATTGAGTTAAAAAATTAAGAAAATCTATTGTTCCTGAAAACAAACGCATGCACAATGTAGTTTATGAAATTATGCGCATATATATAGCACATAGCCAATGACTTCTGATCATGACATCGTTACTTACCTGACGATGTTAAATATGATTAAAGGCTGAATAGCCTGGGCGACCACAAAGTTTTGTACTATCAGTACAGAACTTTATCCAATAACCTATATTAGTATAGGATGTTGAGAAGGAAGCCGGCTTGAAAAAAATCTAATAAGAAAGCATCAATTGATAAAAATATAAAAACAGCCTATAATACTATTACGATATATGAACTTTAAACTGTAACTGAATGGTAGACATTATAGTGCTTCGATGTAGGCAAGAATAAACTCTTCTAATAATTTTATTGCTAATGTTTCAGTCAATACTTAAAAGAGAGACATATTCTGGGTGTAAGAAGACATAAATATGGAAGTGGACTGTCCATTGAATGTGTGGGAAAGGCATCGTACCATAAATATCTATGGCATGTCAATTTATATATATAGTAAAACACATTATCCCTTTTGTCTATGAAAAGAGAAGAACATTTGATATTGCCACTTAAGTTATTTCATATTTTACAGCTAATGAGATATTGGCCTACAATCTCTATATCCCCTTATCCGGGTGCCTAAACTCTATCTCTGCCCATATGTTAGATGGCCTAAGCAAGCGCACCGCGCTACCAATTGCCTGTGCAGATACCAATTCTTCTGGATTATACAAAGCAGTTGTTGAAGGACAGCGCAGAACTAATTTGAAAGTTCACCGAAAATCAGGTAGCAATACAGGGCACTCCATCAGCATCTTTTTTCCTTGGTCCATCCCTGAAATTTCCTACTGAACTGTAGCAGGTCCGTCAATTGTGCAGGCTAAAGTACGTATATGTGGTAAATAGCATGTTGGGCAAGGATTTACTTGAAATAGAAGATGGAATGTAAAAATTATATCTGTGTGTGTGTGTGTGTGTGTGTGTGTGTGTGAAATTAGCCAGACAAATGTATAAAAAGACCTTAGGTCATGATTCCTTTTCAAAATGAAGGTTTCTCTAACAGTTTTGTCATTGGATAATCATCATATATCACAGTTACTAATCATGGGTTAGTGCAGAGTTCTCTATAAAATATTTTCCTACAAAAGGGAAAAAGAGAGAGTGCTCTCCAAACATAGAACAGAGCTGAATAATAGACTCCTACCAAGTCCACTCTATGCAGCGAAAATATGGTTGAGGAAATCCACCAACAAAAACTAAATTTGCAGCTCACACTAAACAACATAGTTTTTTTCCTGAATTTACACTTGCAGTATCACATACCAAAATGGATGCAGTAATTACATGGAGTAATTAGACTGTTGAAAAAAGGATGCTCCATGTATATTAAAAGTCAACCTAGTGTAATTTTCATTTAAGAATAATATAGCATTAAACTTGCGATATACTTGTATGCGTATTTTTCTTGGGATCTCACTTGCTTCCCTATTATGTACACCCACGCGCTCTCCTGCATACTAAGTATATGTTGGCTACTTCAGTAGCACCTATCCATATCTTCATTTCGCTAGGAGATCCGTTGGAAGAGAAGTAAAGACTCTGTTCTTCGCCTTTATTGCATATACATACATACACATATTCGGTTGACAAAGCATGGCTTACTTTATAAGTATCGTAACTTTGAAATAAAACGCGTCTCTGCAGCACTTCTCTTCGTCTCGGATGTCAATACAAAGACTGAATTTCTGAATTGCGGAGTTAACCTGTGCATGTCGTTCCCCCAGAACCCGAACGACCACTGCTCCTTGCCATAATCCTGCACACAAAACAACAGAAAATAAGAATTAGGCATCTGGCAGAGAGCCTTGTCGGATGATCTGAGCAACCGCTGGAAGAGAACCTAGATGGCGACCATATGGGAGAGGGAAGAACGCAAGCCAAAGTTGTGGCGACGCAGTCAAGCAAGCAAGAAAGTTCAGAGAAATGCAGCGTAAAGTTCGGTAAGAAGCAAGAAATTATGTAAAGAGAAAGACACATGTGAACTAATCTGGCAGCAGTTTTAACACATCACAGTTTTCTGAACATTTGACAGGACAACTCATGTGCATTTTGATAAACTCTGTACACTGGAAGTAGGCGTCACGCGCCAATCTCAGTGCCACATTATTACATTACTTCCACACTCTCCATGGAACGAATATGCAGAATTTGGCATGTGTTGGCAATTGAAAAACACTGGATACAATATCTTTGACTTTAGCAGAAAGCAAAACATTGGTATAGTGCTCAAACAATCCCAAAATGGTATTAAGAAATGTGAAATGGTAAACATGTTAACATTGTTCAGTGCTCAAACAATCCCAAAATGGCATTAAGAAATCTATCCTGGCCTTCCAGTTTATAGAAAGAAAAGAGACGGGAGCTTAGACAGACTTTGCACAATGCTAATTCATCCACTAAGCTTCTACCAGAAATAAGCTTGCATTGCAGATTCAGTAATTAGCTGTGTTGCATGTAGAACTATGGAGCATTCATGGCTGTATATAATTTTCAGAAGCTGCGATTATTTTGTCAGGGACTCATGGCTGTATATAATTTTCACAAGCAGCAACCCCTATGTGACAACCTAACCTCCAGTGACAAAGCTATAAACCATCTAATGGACCAAAATGAAGCTTTCGACATTCTGGACATGACTATCACCATTTTTTTAGTCTCTTTGTGGGCTCTTCAAAATAGGGAAGAATACGAAGTTTCTTAAAAGCACACATGTTCAGAACCAAATGTAGATGAAATAAAGCTCAACAATCAAAATGTTATGCTAATTAACCAATTTAAAACCAAGATGGAATAAAAACAGCTTGTACATACCCCTAGAAATTGGTTCTGAACCTGCAATGCAGTTTCTTCTAATTGTTGTTGTAGCAATTCCCATCAAAATTGTAAATGAGAGGTAAAATTCAGAAAACTCTTACATTCATGACCATAACTATTTGTAGTGATTCCCATCAAAACTGCAAATGAGAAGATAAAATTCAGAAAACTCTTACATTCGTTAATATAAATATTCACATGTCAACTATATAGAAAGAAAAAGACACTTTATTTTCATCTAAAAGGACTTTACCAACACATCAATACCATGTATGCAATCTCGACAAGCCAGACAGAGTTAGATGCAAAGGTTAAATGAACTAACTGGACATGCCAAAATAGTAACCCCTCTTCCGGTGAACATACCTGAAAAATGACATCTTCGAGTTCCTCCAGAACTGCAACTTCCCCGGTCGAGGAGCTCTCTATATCAGCTACTGACATCCTCTTCCTCATGGTGCTCACCTCAGCCTGCAATTTCAGCGGACAGGGAGGTCCAGGAAGAAGAAACAAGTGGAAGAACAGAAATAGGAAAAAAGAAAAGAAAACCGAGGTGTCTTGATGCCTCGACGAACATGTGACCTCGGCAGGAGCAAGAGGAGGGACCCAGGCAGCGGCAGCGGTGGCAGTGCGATACCTCAACCAGGAGGCGGCTACTCCAGCACGGTAGATGGGGAGGCATGGACGCGTGGTCCGATAGAGATGCTCGTATCGATGAAGACGATGAGACGACGCCGATATTTCTTTATCAAAGATTTTTCATCAATTATCTGTAGAACATAAAGAGAGATGAAGGAGAACATGTCAGAATGCAGAACTACCTCAGATATTCAAGCATACTAACTGAAGGAGCTCCTTGAAGAAATGAAAGAACAACTTGAAAATCGTGTGTAGTTTAAAAAAAGTTGATATAAATACTTCTTGATCTCAATGTTGAAGAGTAACAAATACGTGAATTGCAGGCCTAAATCTGCAAGGAATATTTCCAGATCTTCTATTCCGAAATCGACTAAATATTGCAATAGGAAAAAAATGCATGGATAAAATTTTTGCCTCAGACATCCCATACTCAAAGACCTAAATCTAAAATACATATCGCTAGTGATTCTATTCTCAGATCAAATCAAATAAATAAGAGACAAAGGGGCAGAGAAAGAGAGAGATTAACCTGGGTATGCAGCCAACAGCGAGGAGGGTGCTGAAGCGAGTGAGAGCAAGGGGAGGGAGAGAGAGGAGGAGGCCGGCTGCACCATCTGCTTTGCTCGCTCCTCTGCACTTACCCAGACGCCAGGGTTCTGGTCCAAGCCGGAGAAGAGCAGCCGCTGTTTGAGGCGCCCTTGGCTACCCTCCGTCTTGTTCACTGGCCGGTGCTAGACAAGGGGAGATAAAGCCCCGGTGTTCTGCCCCTACTGAGGCATCTCTGCTCCAGCACGGGGAGAATGGAGGTGGCCGGCGGCACAGGGAGAAAGGAGGGGGGCGGCGGCACGGGGAGGAGAGGAGGCGGCTGAGGCAAGCGGGGAGAGGGGGCGGCGGCGTGGGAGAGGATGGAGCGGGGAGGAGACGAGGCGAAGGGGACGCGGGGCTCGGGACGAGAAGGTTTGGCGGCTAGGGTTTGACCCTTCTGGTTGTTCTGCAGGTCGAGCCGAGCGTGGGGCGCGGGCGGAGCGGATTGGCGAATCCCTCGCGAACATGGAAAAGCCACACCCAGCCAATGAACACACGAGACGAGCCCATCCGTTATTGGCCAGTAAAGATGACCGCGAGGTAAAAATTGAATTTGACCACGAAGTGAAGATCAGACGGCCCAAATGAGCCTGATGGCCGATCCAATGGTCAGAAGTGGACCAAATCAAGAGAGCATCCTGGAGCCAATTTGGCTAGCATCCTTATAGGTTAGAATATGAGAGGAAGAAGTACGTTGGTGGACCTTCGGGCTGTCCACAAGGCAGGGAGGCGCGCCCCCCACCCTCGTGGGCAGCCCGGGACTCTCCTGGTCCATCTCCGATACTCCGTGGGCTTCTTCTGGTCCAAAAATAAGTTCCGTGAAGTTTCAGGTCAATTGGACTCCGTTTGATTTTTCCTTTTCTGTGATACTTTAAAACAAGAAAAAAAACAGAAATTGGCATTAGGTTCTAGGTTAATAGGTTAGTCTCAAAAATCATATAAAATAGCATATAAATGCATATAAAACATCCAAGGTTGATAATATAATAACATGGAATAATAAAAAATTATAGATACGTTGGAGATGTATCAGCATCCCCAAGTTTAATTCCTGCTCGTCCTCGAGTAGGTAAATGATAAAAACAGAAATTTTGATGTGGAATGCTACCTAACATATTTTTCTAAGTAATTTTTCTTTATTGTGGCAAAAATATTCAGATTCATAAGATTCAAGACAAAAGTTTAATATTGACATAGAAATAATAATACTTTAAGCATACTAACAAAGCAATTATGTCTTCTCAAAATAACATGGCTAAAGAAAGCTATCCCTACAAAATCATATAGTCTGGCTATGCTTCATCTTCATCACACAAAATATTTAAATCATGCACAACCCCGATGACAAGCCAAGCAATTGTTTCATACTTTTGATGTTCTCAAACTTTTTCAATCTTCACGCAATATATGAGCGTGAGCCATGGATATAGCACTATAGGTGGAATAGAATGGTGGTTGTGGAGAAGATAAAAAGAAGAAGATGGTCTCACGTCAACTAGGCGTATCAACGGGCTATGGAGATGCCCATTAATAGATATCAATGTGAGTGAGTAGGGATTGCCATGCAACGGATGCACTAGAGCTATAAATGTATGAAAGCTCAACAAAAGAAACTAAGTAGGTGTGCATCTAACTTGCTTGCTCATGAAGACCTAGGGCATTTGAGGACGCCCATTGTTGGAATATACAAGCCAAGTTCTATAATAAAAGATTCCCACTAGTATATGAAAATGACAACATAGAAGACTCTCTATCATGAAGATCATGGTGCTACTTTGAAGCACAAGTGTGGTAAAAGGATAGTAGAATTGCTCCTTTTATTTTCTTTCCCTTTTTTTTCTTTTTTGGGCCTTCCTTTTCTTGCCTTTTTTTGGGACAATACTCTATTATTGATGATCATCACACTTCTATTTATTTACAACTCAATGATTACAACTCGATACTTAGAACAAGATATGGCTCTATATGAATGCCTCCGACGGTGTACCGGGATGTGCAATGACTCATGAGTGACATGTACGAAAGAATTATGAATGGTGGCTTTGCCACAAATATGATGTCAACTACATGATCATGCAAAGTAATATGACAATGATGGAGCGTGTCATAATAACAGGACGGTGGAAAGTTGCATGGCAATATATCTCGAAATGGCTATGGAAATGCCATAATAGGTAGGTATGGTGGTTGTTTTGAGGAAGGTATATGGTGGGTTTATGGTACCGGCGAAAGTTGCGCGGTACTAGAGAGGCTAGCAATGGTGGAAGGGTGAGAGTGCGTATAATCCATGGACTCAACATTAGTTATAAAGAACTCACATACTTATTGCAAAAATCTATTAGTTATCGAAACAAAGTACTACGCGCATGCTCCTAGGGGGATAGATTGGTAGGAAAAGACCATCCCTCGTCCCCGACCGCCACTCATAAGGAAGACAATCAATAAATACATCATGCTCCGACTTCTTAACATAACGGTTCACCATACGTGTATGCTACGGGAATCACAAACTTCAACACAAGCATTTCTCAAATTCACAACTACTCAACTAGGACGACTCTAATATCACCATCTCCATATCTCAAAACAATTATCACGTATCAAACTTCTCATAGTATTCAATGCACTCTATATGAAATTTTTTATTATATCCCTCTTGGATGCCCATCATATTAGAACTAAATTCATAACCAAAGCAAACTACCATGTTGTTCTAAAGACTCTCAAAATAATATAAGTGAAGCACAAGAGTTTATCTATTTCTTCAAAATAAAATCACCACCGTGATCTAAAAAGATATAAGTGAAGCACTAGAGCAAATGACAAACTACTCCGAAAGATATAAGTCAAGACCAATGAGTAGTCGAATAATTATGCAACTATGTGAAGATTCTCTAACATTAAAGAATTTCAGATCTTGGTATTTTATTCAAAAAGAAAGCAAAACTAAATAAAATAAAATGACGCTCCAAGCAAAACACATATCATGTGGTGAATAAAAATATAGCTCCAAGTAAAGTTACCGATGAACGAAGACGAAAGAGGGGATGCCTTCCGGGGCATCCCCAAACTTAGGCTCTTGTTTGTCCTTGAATTTTACCTTGGGGTGCCATGGGCATCCCCAATCTTAGGCTCTTGCCACTCCTTGTTCCATAATCCATCAAAACTTAACCCAAAACTTGAAAACTTCACAACACAAAACTCAAAATAGAAAATCTCATGAGCTCCGTTAGCGAAAGAAAACAAAACACCACTTCAAGGTACTGTAATGAACTCATTCTTGATTTATATTGGTGTTAAACCTACTGTATTCCAACTTCTCTATGGTTTATAAACTATTTTACTAGCCATAGATTCATCAAAATAAGCAAACAACACATAGAAAACAGAATCTGTCAAAAACAGAACAGTCTGTAGTAATCTGTAACTAACGCAAACTTCTGGAACCCCAAAAATTCTAAAATAAATTACTGGACGTGAGGAATTTATCTATTAATCATCTTCAAAAATAATTAACTAAATAGCACTATCCAAATAAAAATGGCATCAATTCTCGTGAGCACTAAAGTTTCTATTTTTTACAGCAAGATCAACAAGACTTTTCCCAAGTCTTCCCAACGGTTCTACTTGGCACAAACACTAATTAAAACATAAAAACACAATCATAACAGAGGATAGATGATTAATTTATTACTAAACATGAAGAAAAATAAAATTGGGTTGCCTCCCAACAAGCGCTGTCGTTCAACGCCCCTAGCTAGGCATGATGATTTCAATGATGCTCACATAAAGGATAAGAATTGAAACATAAAGAGAGCATCTTGAAGAATATGACTAGCACATTTAAGCCTAACCCACTTCCTATGCATAGGGATTTTGTGAGCAAACAACTTATGAGAATAAGAATCAACTTGCATAGGAAGGCAAAATAAGCATAACTTTAAAACTTTAAGCACATAGAGAGGAAACTTAGTATTATTGCAATTCCTACAAGCATATGTTCCTCCCTCATAATAATTTTCAGTAGCATCATGAATGAATTCAACAATATAACCAGCACCAAAAGCATTCTTTTCATGATCTACAAGCATAGAAATTCTATTACTCTCCACACAAGCAAAATTCTTCTCATGAATAATAGTGGGAGCAAACTCAACAAAATAATTATCATGTGAGGCATAATCCAATTGAAAACTAAAATCATGATGACAAGTTTCATGGTTATCACTATTCTTAATAGCATATAAGTCATCACAATAATTATCATAGATAGCAACTTTGTTCTCATAATCATTTGGAACCTCTTCCGGAATAGTGGATTCATCACAAAATAAAGTCATGACCTCTCCAAATCCACTTTCATCAATATAATCATCATAAATAGGAGGCATGCTTTCATCATAATAAATTTGCTCATCAAAACTTGGGGGACAAAAAATATCATCTTCATCAAACATAGCTTCCCCAGACTTGTGGCTTTGCATATCATTAGCATCATGGATATTTAAGGAATTCATACTAACAGCATTGCAATCATGCTCATCATTCAAATATTTAGTGCCAAACATTTTAATGCATTCTTCTTCTAGCAATTGAGCACAATTATCGGAATCCTTATTTTCACGAAAGACATTAAAAAGATGAAGCATATGAGGTACACTCAATTCCATATTTTTTTGTAGTTTTCTTTTATAAACTAAACTAGTGCTAAAACAAGAAACAAAAAGATTCGATTGCAAGATCTAAAGATATACCTTCAAGCGCTAACCTCCCCGGCAACGGCACCAGAAAAGAGCTTGATGTCTACTACACAACCTTCTTCTTGTAGACGTTGTTGGGCCTCCAAGTGCAGAGGTTTGTAGGACAGTAGAAACTTTCCCTCAAGTGGATGACCTAAGGTTTATCAATCCATAGGAGGCGTAGGATGAAGATGGTCTCTCTCAAACAACCCTGCAACCAAATAACAAATAGTCTCTTGTGTCCCCAACACACCCAATACAATGATAAATTGTATAGGTGCACTAGTTCG